AGATCATGTAAAAGTGCGATCAATGCTGTTTCTGTCCCAAATCCAGTCTGGAATCTTGACTGGTAGGGGTCGAAATAATCATTTTCATCCCGAAACCTCTGGAGCTGCTGTGCAAGCACCTTCTCAACAACCTTCCCCAAAAAGGGAAGATTGGAGACAAGTCGGAAATTATCCAACTAGGTGGAGTTCAGTGATGGCTTCTTAATAAGAGTGCAGACAACAGTCTCCTTAAGGTGTAGGGCACCATCGCCTCCTGTAGGGAAGCATTAATCACCGCCAGAGTCTGCCTGTCACATCCTGGGAAGCTTTCACAGGCCACGAGGGACATGAGTGTAAAACACAAGTGCTTGCGTGCATACTTCCTAGAATCCTGTCCACTTCCTCAGGAGCAACAAGGTCAAACCATTGCCAGATAACAGGGCAAGAACCTGCCTCAGGAGCTTCCACCAGATCATCAACCATGCCGGCATCTAACTGGGAACCAAGTTGAGTGATTTTGTCTTCCAGAAAATCTGCAAATCCCTCAGCATTTCAGGTGGACCTCAATCTCCTCCTTCTCCAGGAGGAAACGGCTCACCTTAAAGAGGATCACTGAGTGATTATCTGCAGACGCAATTAGTGTGGAGAAGTATTTACACTTCGCTGCACAAATAGCCACGAGTTAGGCCTTATTAACAACTCTTACCTGTGTTTGATCAAGTTCATCTCCTGTCTTCTGCCAGCAGCGCTCTAGACGTCTCCTCGTGCATTTCATCCCTCTCAGTTCCTCTGTATACCATAGGGCAGGGGTCCCCAACCACCGGGCCGCGGACCGGTACCGGGCCGTGGAGCACTCTCTACCGGGCCGCAAAGAATTTTTTTTTTAAAAAAATGGCGGCTTTCTTCACCTTCGGTGAATGCTGCTGGGATCGGGGATCAAGGACACAAATGAAAGAAGGGGAGGGAGGAAGCAACCGAAGCCTGTCCTTCTCTCTGGGTCAGCTCTCTCAGTCGCTCTCTCGCTCCTCCACCAGCACAGGAAGAAACTGCTTCAAAGAAGCGGGGGGGGGGCTTTTCCTGTCGCCGAAGCGCCCGTTTCTCCCCCACCCCCGTCCGCCCGCCCGCCCGCCCGCCCGCGCAGGATTCAACCCAGTGCTCCGTTCTGCCTGCCTGCCTGCCTTCGTTAATGGTTGAATCGGAACAGCTTCGGCTGAGTAAAAGAGCGAATAGTTATTATTCTCAGCCGAAGCTGCTCCCAAACAACCAGAAACTAAGGCAGGCAGGCAGGCAGGCAGAACGGGACACTGTGGATTGAAGCGGGCGGGCGGGGTGGGGGTGGGGGTGAAACGGGCGTTTCGGAATAGCTGC